ATCTTTTGTAGTTGTCTCACTGTTCTGGGATATTCATTTTTTGGTTTGTTTTTGTTCTCTTTGCTTTTTAGTTTTGTAGGTTTCTATTGATACATATTCAATCTCAGAAATTCTTTTCTCAGCGTATCCAGTCTACTAATTAGCCCATCAAAGGCATTCTTTATTTCTGTTACAGTGGGGTTTTTTTTATCTGTAGTATTTCATTTTGATTTTTAGACCTTTTATCTCTCAGTTTACACTGCATGCTACCTACTTTATCCATTAGAACCCTTAGCATATTAATCGTAGCTATTTTAAATTCCTAGTCTGTTAATTCCAGCATCCCTAGCACATCTAAGTTGAATTCTGATACTTGCTTTGTTTCTTTAACGTGCCTTTTTTGTTTTGTTTTGTTTTTGACTTTTAGTATGTCTTGTAATGTTATTCTTGATAGCTTGACATAATGTATTAGATAAAAAACAAACAAACAAGCAAACAAAAAATACTGCCTTAAGTAGGCCTTTAGCAATGTGGTCCTAAGATGTGTGAGGAGTAAGGCAAGAAGCATTCTATAGCCCTGTGATTAGGTCTCATTCTTCAAGTGATCTTATACCTCTGGACTGTAAATTTCACATGCTTCTCAGTTCACCCCCTTCCCTACCTCCTTAGGCTTAGCAGGAGGTATTTCCTTTCCCCAAAGTCAATTAGGCTGAGATAAAATCTTAGCAGGTTAAGCTGTTGTTAAGTAGTTTCTCCTGAGGACAGACTTGTTAGGAATAACAGAATGCTCTGGTAAATTTAAAAAATGGTTTCTTTTCTCCCTACACCTGCCAGAGGCTCAAAAGGATTTTTGTCTCATATTCAGTGTGAAAAACAAGTTTAACTCCTGCAGGCAAAGCTCACAAAAGCATGGAAGCTTCCGATGACTGGAATCCTCCTGGAATGTTTATCTGCAAGACTTATCCACACTGAGCCTCCAAAAAATTTTTAATTACAGTTCAGTTTTCCTACTCTGGCACTGGTTCCCACAGAGATCACTACTCATGGGTTTCTGCCCCATTAAGTTAGGATTCTCTGTATTCACCTATCTATCTCTCCAAATTCATGAATAGCAGTTTGCCCTATTTTTCTTCTTTTATGAATCCATAAAGACTCATTGATTTTTCAGTTTGTTCAACTTTTTACATGCTGTTGGGATGGAAAGGCAACTTCCAAGCTTCTTATATGCTGGATCAGAAACCGGAAGTCCATTGTGAAATTTTGAGAAGGGATGTGTGGCAGGATCTAATTTATGGCTTTAAAACAAAGTATTATGCCATATGGATGTAGATGGACAGAAATGATAGCAGGGAAAGAAGCTAGAAAGAAATTACCTTAGTTCCAGGGAGAGGAGATTGCCACTTAGGGGAGTAAGAGTGGATATGGCAAGAAGTAGATAGATTTGAAATGTGTTTTGAAGGCAAAGTGAACAAAGTTTCTTAATGGATTAAACAGAAGGTGTGTATTAAAGAGAGGAGTTAAAAATTACTACTAGAGTTTTCATCTGAGCCGCGGTTCAGACCAATTACTGATATGGGAAAGAAAATAAGTCACCCTGAGAAGAGAAGAGACAGTTCCTCCACTGAAATGAAAAGAGAGAAAGAGAACGGGGGATAGATGCAGGATGCTACAGGTTGTTACACTGACTGTATGGTGGAGGGGGGAGAATGATATATTTTCTTATTATTTTTAATTTTTAGTGAAATAATTATATAGATGAAAGTGAGGAGAATGAAGGGTGCTATAGTTCAAAGAATAAGAGAAGATGTGAAACAATCATCAGTGAGAATCAGAAGTAAAATTTATTAGGTAAATGTAACAGAAATTTTGGGCAACACTAAAGGCACAGTTGAGATTTGTGATCAATAATTTTAAGAGTGACTTAGTTTGCCCTTCATTTTATAGTTTTTTAAGGTGCAAAGGTGGTTGTTGATTTGAGATCTTTTTTATTAATGTACGCATTTACATCAAATAAATTTCCCTTTTAGCAAAAACAATTTTTTAAAAAATATTTTTTCAGTCTTCTTTTTGGATGTATATCTGGAGTTTAAACATACCTAGTTGTTTTTAGTGTTTCATCCTGATTTTTCCTTTCACATAATACCTTGAAATTTTGCCTTAAATACTCTTTAAAATTATGATTTTAGTAACTGTATTATAGTACATTTTATGGAGGTCTGTATATTATTTAGCCATTCTCATGTTATTGGACATTGTTTATTCCCAGTTTTTTACCTTTATATAACTGCCTTCCACATTTAAAAAATTATTTTTCTTTGATTATTGGCTTATGGTTTCAAGAAGTAGGATAATTGGTTGAAAGCATATGAACATTTTAAAGACTTATTTATGAATCCAATCTGTTCCTCAAAAGTTTTTACCAATTTATATTTGTAGTAGAAGATTTTGACATTGTTTCTGTCATAGCACCAGTATTATACAGTATCATAGTTTTTCAGTTTGATAAATGAAAAATGTCATTTTTCTGTTTTAATTTCCATTTCTATGAACATTTTAGAATGTATTTATTGGCCACTTGTGTTTCTTTTGGGTGTGTGACTTGTCTGCTCATGTCCTTCACCAAATTTCTAAGAATTTTTTGAATTCGTTTTTAAGAGTTCTTTACACTTTAAGGATGTTAATCTTTGTTTGTTAAATTTGTTTCTTATCACTTGACTTTAAATTCTGTTTGTGATGTATTCCTTGTTTCTATGTTGAGAAGATAATTTTCTATCTAAACATTAAGTAAATGTTCAGAAAATAATAATTTTAAGTGTGACTCTTCAGTAAGAGTAGTTGCTTTTCTCCAGCTATGTTAAGCTTCCCAGGTGAGGTCAGAATCATGGGAAATTTGAGCTTAACTAGTAATGTTTTGACAGGCTTATATGAGATAGGACAGGGAATTAAGAGTAACGAGGCAGTAATTTTACTTATCAACCATAAAATATAAAGCCAAGTAGAGAGAAAAATGAAGACATGATTAGAAAGTGAAGAGTGAAAGTAGATGGGGACAATGGATTAGACAAGATCCTAAATGCTGTAGTGAAAATACTAGATTATATGAGTTGGAAAGAAAAGATGGTGATTAAAGAGTAGAGTGCTTGAAACTGAAATTTTAGAAGGATTGAATTTATTGGTTGTGAAAAGTTCTATGATATGATCATGGAAGTGATTGGTTGAGATGAAATGAGTAAGTGTTTATTATTGGATGTGAAAATGTTGAAGGGAGATTATTGAATGGATTCTGTACATGTATGTGGACATCCTCAAAGATAATAAATGAGACAAGCAACTAGGAGAACAGTAGTTGTATAAAACACAGAGGAGTGGTAGACAAAATTGTCTTATGTTCCGTATTTCAAATAATCTGTAGTTTTTTTTGTTTTGTATTGTTTTTGTTTTTTTTTGTGAGCGGTAAGGGGATTGCAACCCTTGGCTTGGTGTCATCCACACCGAGCTCAGCCAGTGAGCGCACCAGCCCATCCCTATATAGGGTCCGAACCTGCGGCAGGAGCGCCGCTGTGCTCCCAGCGCCGCACTCTCCTGAGTGCGCCATGGGGTCGGCCCTAATCTGTAGTTTTTTTTGTTTTGTATTGTTTTTGTTTTTTTTAGCGAGCGGTAAGGGGATTGCAACCCTTGGCTTGGTGTCATCCACACCGAGCTCAGCCAGTGAGCGCACCAGCCCATCCCTATATAGGGTCCGAACCTGCGGCAGGAGCGCCGCTGTGCTCCCAGCGCCGCACTCTCCTGAGTGCGCCATGGGGTCGGCCCTAATCTGTAGTTTTTTTAAGGGGGAAAGAAAACAGGGTCTAGAAGTAGAGCACATACCTCACTTCCTGACCCTATGTTACACTGTATGAAGGAAAAGTCAGTCAATAGTTGAAAGAGAGTTGGGGAAGCAATGAGCATGAGTTTGAGAGAAAACTGGTGGAAGGGTTTAGGGGGCTGGAAAAGGGTGGATTTGGCCTAGAATAAACAAGTTGTCCCAGGTTGCTAGTGCATAGTGGAACTGAATCTAGGCTTTCTGACTCCAGAGATCACAGTCTTCATCACTATGAAGTATTTTTCTTCTTATGACCCATCCCTAGGGCACTTTTTAATGCTGAGGCTGATGGGAATGGCAAAAGATGACGGAGGGGAGGTAGTGACAAATCATGGTCTTAAGAAATCTGTGAGATCAAGCCTATGGGAGGAACAATTTCATCAAAAGTATAGAGAGTTCTAAATGCTTCTTAATTTGAGAACAACTCCAGCTCTGATTTTATCCTTCACGAATGACTTTGGGTTAGACTGCAGAACTGTTAGGAGAGGTCTTTCTACACCCCAGTAAGAGAGAGAGTCTGGAAAGTCACTACTAATGGTGAAACGTAAAGGCTGTGAGGGTTTATAAGACCATAAGTGTGATCTTAAAAGAAATTTAAGAGGAGTTATTTTAAGTATAGTTTTTGCCTCAAATGTGCCCTCCCAATTGGGAAAAATATTAGTCACACAAATAGCTCAGTAAAGTTAAAAATAAAGCTATCATTTATTGGATCAGAATGTAAAAAGGTGGGGAGAGTCAATAAAAAGCTTTTCTAATGGAAGTAAATCTGCGGAGAGACATATGATTTCAATGACTTGTCTTTTTATTAGCTGTCAAGTTCATTTAACAAACAAAAAACTCAGTTGAAGATCATTCATTAAAATAGGCATAATTAACAATAGTTCATTAACCATTTTTTCAGATGGTCCTATTTTACCACAATAGTGTTCACTATATATGAGAGATGTAAGAATGAGTGCTGGAAAAGAGCATTTTGTATTTGGAAAGAGCATGATGTATTTCTCTCAGTTCAATACAACATTCAGTCAAATAATGGAAGAGGTGCTCTTTGTTTTGGGTTAATGATATGTATGCTAGATTTTGCTGTACATATTATTACAACCTATAATGATTTGATATAAAATGTCAAACATTTTGACTGTTTAAATAACTCATGTTTTGCAAAATTATAAATAACATTTTATATGTGACTTAATAGCTACATCAAGTATACACAACACATCATGCTCAAGATCTAGATTTATTTAAAAACATTTAGTTCAATTTATATCAATGCAGAAAAATCACATCCAATAAACCACAACTGGAGAAGAGACAAAATAAGTGTGTTCTGTCACATTTTCACATTAATGTAATCTGATACTTAATTAAAGGATAATAAACCACAATCACATTTAAATAAAATATTTATCCTCTCAGTAGTAATAAGAACTTCTTTTGAGTATGTAGGGTCTTCTAGGTTTATTCTCATACAGCTGCCGTTTCAGAATGTAAGGAATTTTTCTCTTTATGACTTCTTCCTTCTCATTTTGGTCATTTCCAGTATCAAGAATATCTTCCTGAATTAGCTGCAAGATAGAGAGAGCATGAATGAAACTACCATGCATCAAATCTTCAATTTAAGAGCACTTTTATATATTTTACCTCATTTGCTGTTTAGACATGTGTAGATGAGATATACAAAGTTCAAAAAAAGTAAGTGTTTTGTTGAATAAAAATGGCTATCAAGTGGTTGAGACAGGCTGAGAGCAGGATCTTTCTGATTCTCTTTTCAGTGCCCTTCCTAGTTCACCAGGGTATGCTTTTAAAAATTTTTCTGTATATTTCAAGGCTATACAGTAATCCCCCCAATTGAAAGAACACTCCAAACAGATCTATGAGTATTTTCCAGGTTGGATTTTATTATGGAGAGATCTAAATAGTATAAAATATGTCATATGTCACAGCAAATCTGGTAAACTAAGTTTGGCTGCAGAGGTAACAGGATTTTACATTTAATTAAGTCAACTACTGACTTGACTTGAAAACCATTTCAAAGAACCATTTCTCAATGACAGAGAAAGCCAAGTCTGATCTGCTTACTCAGTTTTTGTAGAAATCACCATATGGAAAGCTCTGTCTAAATGGTTAAGATCTCTTTAGATTTTGATGCTTAGTTATTAAAAGCAAGATTCTATAACACAGGGAGTGAATCGCCATGTAGAATCTAACCCAATTTCTCATTAAATATGCCCCACTCAAATTAATTCTAAATAATATTTTTCTGATAATACTATTCTGACTCAAAAATTTCAACTAGCATAAAATATTTAAGAACTCTTTCCAGAGCTTTGCACACAATTTATACAACATTTTAAAAAAATGCTTAAGATGAAAATTTTCTTTATATTTGTGGTTGTCTTCTAAACTTTGGGGTCACTATAATACTGATAGGAGACAGAGGAAGTTTTAAACTATAATACATATGCATAAAATCATGTAACCAAGTACTGTACTTCAACCCACAGTTATTCAATTTCAGAGAAGGAGAAACAGCTACTGTCAAACAATCTAATTTCTTAATCTTTAGTTTCTCTCTGCATAGTCTGTAATTACTTGTACTAAGCTTCAAATTATCATTTTATTTTTAAATCATTCAATAACATTTAAAATAGCAAAAGTTCTAGTCTTGTGTGCACTTGATTTGTCTACATAATAGTTTATTGAGCATTTCTTTTCTTGGTTAAACAGCACAACCTGACATTTCCCTATTTTAAAATTTATAATTTTCAAATTTTATTGACCTACACAATATTTAAAGAATGAACCATTTAGTTAAAATTAAAATCAAAGGATAAATAGTATAGTGAGTAAAATTAAAACTGGACTTTTTGGTTTTTTATTTAGAAAACACCTTTTGTTTTCCAGTTAGCATAACTTAGAAGTTCCGCTTGCATTTTCTCTTTTCCACAGGATATCTCTATGGTAGTCAGTCAAAAGTTTGTTACATTCGGAAGGAAGACACCCTCAGGCTCTCAGTGTTGGTGTATATCCAGAATATAAAACATTAAGCAGGGGCCGGCCCGGTGGCGCACAGTGCTAGTGCACCGCTTGGGAAGCGCGGCGGCGCTCCCGCCAAGGGTTCGGATCCCACATACAGACCGGTTCCTGCTCACTGGCTGAGCGAGGCACGGGAGCAACACCGAGGGTTGCGATCCCGTTGCCGGTCCTGGTCCGGTACGGGGGCGACACTGAGGGTTGCAATCTGTTGCCGGACACGAAAAAAGACAAAATCGGATCCCACATACAGACCGGTTCCTGCTCACTGGCTGAGCGAGGCACGGGAGCAACACCGAGGGTTGCGATCCCGTTGCCGGTCCTGGTCCGGTACGGGGGCGACACTGAGGGTTGCAATCCATTGCCGGACACGAAAAAAGACACACACAAAAAAAAAAAATTAAGCAAATTTCTCTCGGAGGTTAATCTGAAAGAAATCTTTTTCCTGTTGGGGACATTTTAAAACATTTCTCTTTAAAACTTTTATTTCTTTTCCCCTCTCTCTTTTTTTAGCCCAGCATTTTATATATCTTTTCAAAGCTCTAATTTATCATATATATGTATATATATGACACACGCACACACAAAGTCATGTGTGTTTATCTATAAACAAACACAGAACACAAAGTGTTTCAAATAAAACAGGAATGACACAGAAATATATTCTATTATATATTTTTTATATAAATTTTTAAACTATTTTTTATTTGCCTGATATATTCAAATATAAGAGGTTTCAAATAAAATTGGAATGATAGGGATATATATCTCTAACTTATATTTTTATTTAAATAAAAATAGATTTTTATAATTTGCTTAATATATTCAAATACAAATGAAAGCTTTTGGGTTTCGATCTAGCTTTATTTGGAAACTTTTGTGTTCTGTGTTTGTTTATAGGTAACTACACATGAATTTTTGTTTTTCTAATAAAATATTTTGAGTTTCTTAAACTTCTTAGACATGCCACTACCACCACCAACAACAAATTTTGCCTAAGCCTTCCTTCTATTTTTAAAAACATGAGGATCATATCTGTCTTAAAACATATCCTCAACTTAAGGCCAAAAAAAAAAATTGCTAAATGTCAAATATTTGAAGGGCACTTTGAAGATTTAAAGGAATGTTGACCTCAACACATGGTTTTTTGTTTTTTTTTTTAATATTTGTAAGGCTTCCTTTTACAATAATGATCAGGATTTTAAAAATCAATACAAATGAGAGCTAACTAGTATAACTATAATTATATTCATATTTTGTTTTTGTTTTACCTCCCAGTGTTGAAAGGCCCTGCTGTGACAGATTTTTTGGAGCTGGTATATTGTCAGCATTGCTTCCAAGCTAAAGCCATCTAAAGCAATGGGGGTTCTCCTTCTTGTAAGAAGCTCCTCTTCACGAATCTCTCCTGTTTCCTCAGCTTGGCTGTTGAGGTTATTTACAAGACTGCAAACATTTAGCAGGGTCATTTTCCAAGAGGGGACACTTGCTTTGCTGATCTGAAATATAGAAAAAAATAGACATTGTAATTAAAACATGTTATATAAGTAAGAAATAAATTTCTATTGTGCTAAACCATTACATTTTAGTATCCAATTGTTTCTCTAGTCAATTAAATACAGTGTTACTAACTTACTAATGTCATGTCACAAAGTTGCATAGTGACAATACCACATATCCTCTATTTAATAGAATGCAATGAAGTTTTACACACATACACATACATTCACACACAGAGCAAAGTAAGAAAGTAAAAAAATATAGAGAGAAATGACAGTCAGTAGAAATATGTAAATATATGTATATATAACATGAAAATATTAAAAATTTTTAAAATGCCATTTCTTTTTATTATCTTTCATCTTGTATCTAATGGAGCAGACAGTAAGATGATATTAATAAATTTAGACAATTACAGTAGTGTGGGGTGATTAATATATTTCATGTATTAATAGTTGTCATGGGCAGCATCATGGCTCACCAATTTATTTATTGGCAAATTATAATATTTTGTTAAATTATCTTTCTTTTCTAATAAGTTTTTATCTGAAATTTTAATCAATAACTTTCTTACATGTCAACAATAATCAGTAAGAAAACATAAGGATGTACAAAGATCTAAGTGTGAAATAATTAATAAAAATCAACAGAAAAATCAAAGGGCATAAATTAAGAAGACAAATTTTCTCTGAATAACATAAAAAAAACAGGATTTAGGGCCGGCCCGGTGGCGCACTGCTACAGTGCGCTGCTTGGGAGCGCGGTGGCACTCCCGCCGAGGGTTCGGATCCCACATACAGACCAGTTCCCGCTCACTGGCTGAGCGAGGTGTGGGAGCAACACCGAGGGTTGCGATCCCGATGCCGGTCCCGGTCCGGTACGGGCGCGACACTGAGGGTTGCGATCTGTTGCCGGACACGAAAAAAGACAAAAAAAAAAAAAAACAGGATTTAAATGATTACAAAGATATGATGAGAAAACTCAATAACAATAATATCAAGTGACAATTTTCTCTGAATTACTCTCCAAATATAATTGCAAATCAATGTCCCAATTTGAAAAAAAATGGGGAGACTGAAAGTTGCAGAAGAGGATTTGACAGAATAACTATAAAGTTAATTTAGAAGGATGAATGTGTGAGAATAACCAAGAATATTTTTAAAACTGAAAAGATAATGAGGATGGACTTACTCTACCAAGTATTAAAATGTATTTTAAAGCTATAGTAATAAAAAGGGTGAATTAATAGATGATGAGGGTGAATTAATAGAACAGGAACAAACATGAAACCCAACAGAAGAGAATCTAATTTTCAAAAATTGACTTAAGTGCATATAAGTGTGTAGCACATAGCAAAGTTGGCATTTCAAATTCTTTGGGACAGTTAGTGATGGGATATCTGGATATAAATCTAGTTATAACCTTTCTTGACATATTATAATCAAACAGGATCAAGATGGGTTAAATATGAATAAAAATAAAATACTGCATAAATATATAAGTTATAAACCTAGAAAAATATGAAGCCAATATTCAAACCTAAATCCATAAAGAGAAAATTAATTTTAAATACATAAATCTATAAAATATCTCTGCAAAAACATAACATGCTAAACTAAAATCAAAAACAAGTTATTTAAAAAAAAAAAAAAAAAAAACTTTAAAAAATGTAAACCTTGGATAAGTGACCTGAGCAGAAAAGTCAGAATCACTCATCAGAGAGGAAATATGTTAAAGAAATATGTGGAATGGGTTTCAACTTGGCTACCATCAGATTGGAAGACTTGAAAAGGTACAAGTACACTCAGTGGCAATCCAAACATGGGATAGCAGATACTCCTAAATATTTTTTCAGTCTGTGTATAGATTAGTATAATTTCTTCAAAGTTGTTCTCACAATATATATTAATGCCCACCCTTTGGGTAAGAATTACCCAGAATAAATAAAAATCTGTGAGTACAAAGATGTACACTACCATGTTTTCAACTGGCTTGGAAATCTTTTTTAGTATGTCTCTTGAATATGGTTATCTCTCCATTGTTTGAATTTTTCTGCTATGGGAGACTATTTTAGAGGCAGCATGCTCCACTTTGTGGCAGTAACACTTTATGCCCTGCCAATTAATGGGATACTATAATTTTATATTCAGAAAGCTATTTAGAAATCATCTATTTTGGTGTTTTCCAAAGTTTCTTCCTTAGAACACTACTTCTGCACCTATTGATTTCAAAAAAGAGTTGTGCTGCGAAGTAAATTAAAAATCTTGAGTTTAAAGGAAATTTAAAGTCTTCCTGAATTTAGATATCCTCAGGTTTTTACCTGCAAATACTTATTGTGACATTTCAATGTACCAAATGGTGTATTTGATATTCCCCAAACTAATTTGACCATATAAAGCTTTATTTGTAAAGTATCTGTCAGGATAGATTAGTGTTGCCTAATCTATCCTGTTAGTGTTGCCTAATTATTTTATAGATGAGGAAATAGAGCAAATTATGTTGTTCCTTTCTATCAGTTAAAATAGTCACTACATCATGCAATACTACTGTTTAATGTCAAATTAGCCCCTGTTATACTTAGGAAGAAAAGCAGAGAGAGCACTCTTGACTAAAGGGTGTCAAAGAAAACATGTATTTGAAAACATATTTGTATAAGGCTTAAACTATAAAGATCATCTTCCTAATGCTGAATAAGATCCTGATCAAATTTCTGTTTTGTTTTGTTATTTAATTGAATATAACCTAAGCTATATGATTTACACTCACTATTTGTCATATACTGAGCTCAGATGAGTTCAGCAGATAGTGAATTCAAGAATTTCACAAAATTGAAAATAATTGATGTCATCTGTGGTAGAAGCCCTGAAGTTTTTATATTTTAATATAAAATGTGAGGTTAGTAATAAACCTCAGATTCCCATTTTTAGTTCATAAACATATATTGAACTACTACTGTACAGAGGCAGAGTTTGATCATAGAAAATTATATTTCAGCAGCTTTTATAGAGCCTGAAGAAAACATACTGTACAAGCTTTTTAAATAAATCTGTACAAGAACACTGAAAATAAAGAAAACTGTATTGTGAAAAAAAAAATTCTTATCTGCCACTTCTTCTCAGCCTTTGAAATCTCTCTTGAACTTCTTTTGCCTAGGTGTATTTCCACACTAGTATTTTAATGTCTAAATAGCTTTACTCTAAAACTGAAATTGCTGACATTTTAACAATAAAATGGAAAGAAGAAAGCTGCAGCTTACTGAAGCTTTTAATAGTGGAGTTGTAGTCATATAAACATCAAATACTATTCTCACTGAAGTTTCAAGTATTGCAATTTAGTCAAAATAGTCATAAGTCTCGAGTTTTCATTTGCACAGGGCCATGTACACATCAAAAATGATCAAACCAAAGAGAAATATAATGTAATTTTGTAGAAAAAAATTAGAAAAGAGCTTTCTGTTCCCATCCTAGCAGCAAAATTAAAATAACTATATTTCTTAGTACCTACGCATCATAGGCTGTATCTTATATCAATTAAAATGAAACATTGGAATTCAATTTTTTTCCTTCATCCCTTTTAGAGATATATTTCATGAATGAATGAGAGAAAAATTATATTGTGCCTATACATTTTCTATGTATTTCTCTTCAGAGAAAAATAAAACTGCTCTATATACTGGAATTATGTTTTCCTTGAAGTATCTTGGCCAGGGAAAGAATCACAATTCTACTTTCACATGTTCTCTAAATAGCTAGTAATTTACAGATTATATACCATTTTAAAGATTATTTCAGACTTTTATGTGTCAATATACACTTGGTAATTATAAAGGTACAATCTATAACATGACACCAAAGCATTTTAATCTATACCAATTTTTGACACACTATTGACTTCATTTGTCTTCCTATTTTTGGGTTAAAGAGATTGTAGCCATTGCTATTCTGATTGAGTGCTAAACAAGGGATATGTAATCGTAAGTTACATATATTTGATCATTGAGTTTTAATGACTAAACTAAATTTGATCATATCTGATATGAAGCCTCCCAAATTATGGTAGCATTTGGTTCCAATCTGGTCAATTTTTGAAGATCTGGACCATCACAGAAATATATATGTGCTTAAACTTTCCCAAAATGTCTTTTAAAGACCACAATGGAAAACATATCTTTGTTAGCTTTGATATTATAATGCCTACACTCTCAAATACACACACAGACATGGATATTTATCTTTCACGCCCACTATCAAACATAATCCTACTTGTATATTAGGTATTATTGTACCTAGAATATGCTCATTCAATTAGAAAAGAGAAACCTGAGATGGTAGAAGTTGAGATGAAATTTAGCTTCAGAAATCAGACAGGAGTTTTGAGTCCTTACTTTTTTACTACAACATCTGTTGAGTCCTCAGCCTTGGTACACCAGTGCTATAACAATGATTGCACCAGGTGACTGCCTCACCTCAAAAATTGTTTTTTTTTGTTTGTTTGTTTGATTGATTGATTGATTTTTTTTTTTGAGAAATATCTTTTGGTTTGGAATGTGTACCCTAACCCTATATTTTGATACACACTGATTGACTCACTCTGTGTAAATCAATATTGTTTGGTAACATGGTAACCAGGTATATTCTAATTAACTTTTACTCCTAGAAAACTTGCTTGCAAGACCCCAAGTGGGTAGTGATAGGGCTCAGGATACACAGCTGTATTTGGTTCAATTTAAAAAAAATGAGCATGTTACAGTGAAAATTTAAATCCAGATATGCAATAAAGAGCACAGTTTAAACTTTTTAAACTCATTACAGAACTATAAATGACTAGAAGATCATGAGCTTTAACATTTAATAACAAGAAAAAGAAAAAAAAGCAATGTTAACTAATCCACTTGCTTAAGGTCAACTAGTTTATCAGTCATAGTTTTAGGATTAGATCTCAAGCCTACTGCCTGCTGGTCTATTGCTCTTTCCTCTCTACCACATTTCTTTTGCAGGTTCTACCACATCTCTTTTGTAGATTCTCATTAAAAACTTTGATGTTTAGTTTAAGAAAACCATTTTATTTTTCCCAATACAATACAAAAGTTTAAAAGTTCACTCAGGTTTTATTATTGCACTTAACTTGAGGCCAACATATTTTTCATCATACCCATTATAATAGATATGGAAACAAGTTCCTTTAGATACATTTACATGTTCACATAAATAATATGTGACTACTTAATGTTGCAGTATGCCGATTGACAGTCCCTACAGTTTCTTTCCTTGTCACATCAACACTCTTAACTTTTGAACTCAAAGAAAAGTTTCTCAAAAAAGGAAATGCTTTCCAGGGAACTTTTCAGTCTTGATGGGAAGCTATTACTATAGAAAAAGAACATCATGTTTATAATGAAAGCTCATATGTTCTTCAACATTGGTTAAAGTAAAGAAAAATTACCTTTGATGTATGCATATTGGTCAATAAATCTGCTTCTAATGCTTTCATTTCCTCTTCTGAATCTGAGTAAAATCAAAGCCACATATTTACTATGTAATCACATGTTATATAATTATATCATCATCTATAGATTTTAGATTAATCTCAATGAATTTAGTCTCAGGGTCTTAGCATCTTTTCTATGTATTTATTCTCTTTAAGGCAGTATTCAGAAAAAACAAATCATAGTTTTAGTTTAGACAAACAGGCAGCTAGAATAGTAGAAGCATTTCTAGGAAAGTAAGCACATGATTATTTACCAATAGCACTATAGAGCTGCATAATCTCTGAATTTCAGTTTTAAAAAATCTGATTATGTTGTATAATAGTTTAATCAAATATACTACAGTAGTTTATTTTTACCAGCAATAGTTTACATATGTGAAACGTATGCATATTGATATTTTAAAAACAACATAATGAAAATATGTGTGCCATAGACTTTTTCAAGACAAAATAAAAGGAAATCCCTTACTGATAATTTTTAATCAAGATATTGAGATTTATTTAACTTGAGATGCTATTTTACAAAATACACTTTGAAATAATTTTTTCATACTTTAAAAAAAATGGAATTGTATATACTTTGCAATTTTATCATAGACTTAAAAAATCGTTTAAGCAAGTGGAGCTGCCCATCAACACATATAAATAGTGTTGAACATGGATCTCTGAATTTTTTAGAATATCTCTCCAACTTTTCATTAAAGAATATTTTACAGAGAAGAAAAATTTAGAAAACAATACAAGGCAATAGAAATAAAGTTGTACAGCAGTACAATAAGGTGGCCTAATTCATACTCACAGAACTATCTTCTTTGCACTTTACACTCATTAGAAAGAAGGGTCATACTTAGAGAAACAATTTGCTAACCTGTCTCTAGGAACTAAATCATACTGGAGATCTTTTCTCCCTATTTGTTAGAAATGCCATCTGTTTTTCAAGAGAAATGACAAATTCCATTAGTCCTTTATGAAAGATGTATACTCAAATCCCCACAACTTTTGGCTACAACAGCAAGTAGTTTCAAGAGGTAGTAGACACAGTGTTTAGTCAATAACCCATTTTTTCCACATATTTTAAGTATACCTTTAATCTTATGTAACTGTTAGATAAAATCATAACCGAAAAAGTTGGCATTTTTCTCATAAAAGATTTGCAAATTTAGAAGTTCAAGGTCTTTTTTAAATAAATTAGAAATTTTACATAAATCACATATATATCTTCTGCTAGATTTTAATTTTTTAACAAATAAAGTCACAGCATGAGTTTGAATTAAATATTTCAATATCATACTTATGAGATATAAAAGCATAAAACAGGTTAAATATTTTTTGCTGCATTTTTCCCTAAGATTTTTTTTCACCATGATGTGATTGTTCAAATATTTTTCAAACATTAATTAGAGCATATTGCAATGGTTACAATATCTCATGTTACTTCTTTAGATTTAAATTTTATTTTCAAGGTGAGTTATTGATAGATATTTAGCAATATATTACTTCTACTTACTCATCACATGTAAAAGACTCTAAATCCGAATCATTTTTATTAATAGAAAAAAATAAGTTTTTCAATTACATTTTGTATCACCTTAAGTCACATGCAAAAAAGAAACAGTTAAATAAATAGCATGCCTATTTGTCACATAGATAAACTAAGTCAAATGTATTCTCAAAAGGACTTGGAATACTTTTGAATTTTTTAGAAATAATTTTCTACAAATAATTCTTCATTAATTTATTCATTGAACATTAATTTTTACTTCATTTGTTATCTTAACACACACACAGTTAAAAAATAATTTGGGGACAATTACAAGGGTAAGGAAGAGAGAAGCCATTGCTTACTAAAAGATTGACTGAGGATGAGAGTAAAGCATTTTTCATGGCATGGGTTTGAATGATGGTTTGCATGTTGACAGGCACCGCCTCTGTACTTCTCATTAGATAATGATTTTAAGTTGTGTGTGTGTGTGTGTGTGTGTGTGTGTGTGTGTGTTCCTCTAGTGGTTGCATTCCAAAGAGGGGCATGCAGTGTTTCACTGAAATCCCTTTTATTGCTATGAAGATTTAAAAAGTGAAAAGAAATCTCTCAGCTTTTGTAATCATGAAGACAGAGAAACACGATATTCACAGTTTCTCTCACTAAAAGGCAATTCCTGAATAAGGGGAAGAAACTCTTCTCCTTAGATACATTAACATAAGTAGCAAAACACTGCAAAAGAGGAAAAATAAATCAGTTCAGGGAGTCGTGAAATGCAGCTGGGCTTACCTGAGCACAGACTCCAGGAGCTGAAAGCCAGGAGTATCATGCATACCAGCTGGATTTGCATTCCTGCCATCATCTCTTTCAGACTTCTAGCAAGCCAAGTCCATAAAAGTCAGAAACACACTGATGGGGGCTCTCTCAAGGGCTTCCTCTTGCCTTCAGCTGGCTTTGAAAGTGAGTGAGCTATGAGAGATGCTCTAGCCTTCCCTATATATATAAGCAGAAGGATGATGTCATGATTGTACAGGGATTATCTTTTCAGGATGTTCCCTGCCTTCATCTCTATCCCTCCCCACCCAGACCCTCCCCACTTCCTCCTTCCCTTTTCCTTTGTCCCCCACTCTCCTCCCCCACTTCTGCACCTTCAGTGAGAGCAACGATCTTCCCTAATTGCTGCTGCTGCTCCAGATTTCTGACGCACAGAAGGAGTCATTCAAAAGCACTGCCATATACAGCAAACTGGAAAAGAACCCCCAGTACATTCTTTCCCCACTTCCTCTTATTCCCCCACTCCAAGAAGTTGTAATTTGATTTTGTAAAACATGATATCTGTTAGTTCTAATATTCAAGAAAAATCTCCAGGATGAACGCATGAAATCAGTGATGCCTCAGGCTTGGAAGTTCTTAAAGAATTTGTTTACTTTTCTGGTAACTGCTAAGCAAATGTTTTGTGATTTCGAAATTAATGTAGATTGTAGATAATATATACTGAAAGAAGATAAAATATAAGCAAAGAATCAGTTATAATATAGAAATTAAGTGAAAGAAATTAGAGAGATAAAAAGAAAATCAGTAAACAAGAAAGAATAGTAGCTGCAAGGAATAGGGCATTATTTCCTAACAAATTGAAGATTTTATTGTAAATACCTGAGAGAATGACTGAATAATGTATACTGACTTTTGATTTAATGTCTTAGAAAAGCAACTTCATGTTTATAAAATCCAGCTATAGATTATTGATGTGCTTGCAGGTGGAAATATATATTGTGTTATTGACTGCTTTATTTCTGATTCTTTTCTTATTTTCTGCATACATTGCTCTGCTCTTTTGGATTCATTCTTGAATCCCCTATATAATCCTTTTCTCGCTGGTTTTTACCATTGCATCAATTTTCTTTTCCTGTTATTGTCATCTTTTCACCATAAAAATGAGACTATACTTTTGAAAAGGAGACAATCTTAAATAACCACCATTCACCAAAGTAACATTTCTAAGACAGTCTTCATGTATTTCATAAGTTACAATGATGCTCATTCCTCCTCTGGGTTCTCAAAAGAAAATTGTTCAAAATGTCTTTTGAGGTGAAGCTTTCTTCTTGCATTAGGTATTTCAGGACACATGGAGTAATCTGAAAAGATCTGCTAGGGATGTGCATATTTAAAGGCAAAGGTGTCTGAGACTTTACTTTTTAAATAAACCAATCATCTATTAACAGTGGAGAAAAAATATGGATTGATTCCTATAGAATTCATTTATATTATACAGTATATATCTATGAGATTAATTTTCCATCTTTACCCTAAACTTAAGGAAAGAATATAATTTCAAACATTAAATAGTTATTTAAAATAGCAAGGAGGCTGGCAGGTTAGCTCAGTTGGTAGAGCCTGGTGCCTACAACACCAAGGTAAAGTGTTCAGATCTCTGTGTTGTCCAGCCACCCCACTCCCAGCAAGGAGTTATTTATATAATTTAAAGTTTAGAAATTTAACAATTGTTGATTTTTTTAAATTGTAGTTTGTTTTATAAACTTATGTAAAACACAATATTAAACACTACTCACCTGGGAGAAGTTTTCTATAAAGTGTAATTAATTGGCAAAGAAATTTGTAATACTTGTAGTACAAGTCTAGATTTTTTATTTTCCCTACCAATAGGGGTCACAATGGAAGTTTAAAAGGTTTTTTATTCTCGCTTAACTGGTCATGTTAGATTTCTGAGGATTGTACTTACTTTCCTCTCATTATCAAAGCATTTTTGTAATAGAATCCTTTTAAAACCACTTCACTGAAGATATCAAGAAATTATGTATTCTTTACATGATACTTAAATTAGTCATTTTATTTGCTTTTGAACTGCAAACGCAATGAATAATCTTTTAAAATGTGTGAAAGCAGTCTAACAGTAAACATGAAGTGTGATTCCTATTTCCTTTAAGTGATTCCTTCAATATATGAAGCTCAGGGAAATGTTTTCAAAATTTCTTCCTAATTAACTAGAAAAAAAAAAGGATATAAGGAATAATAAAAATTTGCTTTGTTTTAAGTAGAGAACATGAATTTTAATTGATAATGTGAGAATTGTTTTAGATAGATGATAAATCGCAAAGAATCGGGAGCATGTTAACTATTGTCAAATGATTAAAAATCAAATACATGCTATACACTATTTTTCTTTGGGGAAAGGGAAAGGTGTGTAACATTTTGGTAAAATTATGATGTAGATAAGCTTGATCTGATCTCTAATTGATCTTCTTAAAATGTGCTTTTTCCTTTTTAGCTCTAATGCCTTCAAGCTACAGAAAAACCAATTGAATAATTTGCTTTAGGTGGAGATGTTAACTGTGGATGTTTACATTTAAAAAGTATCCTAGAAAATACTTAAACGATGTCTGTAATGCAGGATTTTAGGCAACTTTCATGGAGATAGGTGAACTATTTTTATTCTAAAGGATTTTTACCAGAAATCATTCTAACTTTTGCCTAGGTCTTAAAATAACTAATAGAGAGTTTTAACATTGCCCTTTGATAATCTTCTTGTGTTAGCCCTCCAGTTGGAGGTCCTTACTTTAACTAGGAGTCACTTATCTAGTACCTGTTGATTGTAACATGTCTACAATATATAGATATCTGAGCTTCTACTGCGACTTAAGTCAGACCTTTATTAGGTAATTGTTCAAAATAATGAAACAAGACTCCTGGAAGATTGGAAATTAGAAAGACTGGTCTGTGAGCTCATTTAATTTGGAGATAGGAAAGCTTTGAAACTACCTGATGAACAGAGGAACTTCAATTTCATGTGATTTCTTCCTGTACCTTTGAAGGCTTTGTTACCTCATTAACAGCTTCCTGGACTCTCCAACCTTTCTATACCCTGGTAGCTAAAACTTGGCCTGTGATGTTTTCACCATCTGGATTCTGCCATCCATCTTCTTTGACCATCCTATCTCTTGCTTTCTGACGTTATCTCTCATTTTTAAAAGACTGTTTTACAGCCTAATCAATGTAAATCTTTCCAAGTTTGAATCCTGAAAGTAGTCTCTTCTACTTTTTCCAGTTTCTAGTAAATGCTCATCAGTAGTTTGTACTCTTTATAGTAAACTGTGAACTGCTAGAAAGAAAAGACTCTCATACTTTTTCTTCCAAGGTTTACAGTCCACAAGTACTCAATACATACTTACTAAATTAAACTAAAATACTAATTATTTTAAATTTCTAACATGTTCTTTCTGTTTCCATTCTTAACATTTCTTTCAACCACCTCTTTTAAAACATCTTTGTTATTATTTATCTTCATATTTTTTGTGAGCCTTTACACTCGTTAATTGTCATATTTTTTGTAAGCCAAAACACTCAATTTTCCCAATGGTTTTTCAGTCATTCTTTTTCTCCCTGACTGGGAAAGCCAACTTCAAAAAATAATTTATGAAGATCCCTCAGGGATCATGTGTATTCATTAGCTGAGTCCTTAGGATAAATCATGGGTTTACTACATTTCTCTAAATGAGTTTCTGCTTTGGAGCTGCAACCCTGATTCATCTGAACAAACAATGATGTCAAAATCTCTGTAAACCCAATTGATTTTTCTGTTCAATTCAAGTCCATTATCTGGAAATACAGGTAGGTATGTTTATGCACATGCCCACACCCACACAGTATCTTATACACAAGATGCGTATAGCCCAGACCTTGGAGATTTACGTAAATGTAAAACAAACGTGCAATTTCCCAATCTATGTGAAACCATGCTTTCTTTGCTCATAATCTCTATGAATTCCCAGCTCATTTCCTTTTGGCTCTTCTTGTCTCTGTTCTTGCATCTTTATAGGTAATTAACTTGGAAAAATTGATGATGGATTTCTGTAGTCAAAGCACAATTTTGCAACTTAAACCCTAATTATAACACATGTTTGTTTGGGACTCATATGTTAATGACTTACCATATTTAACTAAGGATGTTCCACATTGCAATTATATGCTGACTTCACCTATAATTGTTTTTCTTATCTGTGAAATTATTGAGATACCACAAAATCGCTATTCACTGTAACTGTCTTCATAATCCTCCGTTTTGAGTAAGGCCCAAATAAAGCATTACAGAAAAAGAATGTTCCTGAAAATTTTCTTCTTTTATGTTTTACTTATAAAAATGTTTATAATAATCTAGAGTAAGAAATAAGATGAGTTTTTTATTGAAATAAAAGTTTTCCCCTCTTTTTTTTAGTCTGTCACAAAGTCTAAAAAAATTTTCATAGCACCTGCAACACCCAAAATAGAACAAGAAGCTCTTAAGCTACCGTTTATTAGAAGCAGATTCAGTGAAATGCTTTTTCTTTCTTCTTCTTAAGGAAATATTAGATGTTGAATTAGGAACATAATGGTTTTATATTATTCATACTCCCTGGTCCTTTTTTCAATTTACATACTTTCCCCAGTGATCCTGATGAGTCTCAGGGCTGTGAATCTTTTCTTTTCCCTAATAACCTCCCAATTTGCATCTTTGATATTCAGAGACTTGTATATCCAATAACATCCTCAGCAGTTTTACTTTGGGTTTTACTAGGCAAACTTGTTGTCTGAAGTAAAACTTTTGATTCCTCCAAACACCTTTCTAGAAATATTCTTCTCCTCTAGTGTTCATTTCTGTTATTAGAACCATGATTTACTGAGTTGCACAGATAAAAATATTAGAATTCATTTACATTTTTTCTCTCCCCTATCACTTTCAAGCTATCAAAACCCCCTGGGGGTACAAGTCTGTTTCCTAAACATATTCTAAATCTACCTACTTTTACTTAGTTCATTATCATCAGCCAGATCCAAGCCACCACCATCTTTTCCTTGCACCAATAACCACTTGAACAGTCTGCCTACAAACTGTCTTGATTCCATTCATTGTAGTTACCATAGATAAGCCAGAGTAATTTAAAATAATAATGATAATAATAATAATAATAAATAATGATGATGATAAAACTTATTCTT